TATATATATATAATTGTTGATTGAGTCATATCGTGGTAAAATAACAAATAAAAATAGAAAGAAAAAAAGGAAAGGAAATAAAAATGTAAGCCGACAAACGAATGACACGAGAAAGATAGAATGAGAGAGGGTTGTGGAGGAGGAGGAGGAGGAGGAGGAGGGGGTGGGTAAGGGGAAGGGGAGAATCTTCGTCGTCTTCTTTCGTCGTCATAGTCGTTTGGTAGAACTGAGAGTTATATTTTGACCCTGGTTAGCATACCAAAGGGACGTTATATTCTTATGGTTCTCGTACTCACTATTATAATGAATATCTTTGCCGCTGTATAAGCATATATGTAAAGCACGTGCCACGTTTTCGTATCGTTGGGTGGCACACATATACAATCATACACAGACAGACAGACAGACAGACAGACACACAGAGTAGAGAATATATAAGAATTAAGTAGAATAAGAAAAAGAATGAAAAGAGTAAGTGGAGAATGAAGAGTAAGAAAAATAATATAATAAAAAAAAGTGAGGGGAATGGGGTGAGGGTTGATGGTGGTGGGGGGGGGGGAGAGAAAAAAAAAATATGAGTTGCAGGAAAGGTGCGATCTCGGTCGCATATCATGCGAGCTTCAGAAGATATCATTTGAATTTCAATGAATCATGTGGGTGAGTGTGTTTCTCCCCCTTTCTATCTTTTCATTTTTACCCATTCATCTTTTTCTTTTCTTTTTTTTCTTCCTTATATTTTATTATATTCTTTTTATTATTCAATTTTTGTTGTATATACTACACTGGACAATATATTTATTAGTTTTATCTAGATTTAGTTTGTTAGAATATATTGTCCATGTTATTGTGAACGATTTGATTTGTTTGTTTGCATTTAATTCAATTCAATATTCGATTAGAATATTTGTATGATATAAAATTTGATTGTTTGTGCGATTATCAAATTTTTCGCACGTTCATTTAAATATTAGATAAAAGATTTTGTTTAAAAACAATTAAAATAATAAATATAATAATAATAAAATGAAAATGTTCTGTTAGTTTTTATTCCCCTTTATCTTTTTTTTCTTCTTCTTCTTCAAATGAATATAACAAATTACTATACGCGATAACATTAGTTACAAGATAATCTCGTGTAACACGAAATAAAAAGAAGAAAAAGAAGAAGAAGAAGAAGAAGAAGAAGAGGAAGAAAAAGATTGAATAGCAAGATGAAAGCAGAGGGTCTGTATACCCTTTCTCTACCTCCACCACCTTCTTCACCACCCTTTCATAGGTTATATTGTTGTATATTACACGAGAGAGGTATATTACACGCGCGGAGGTGGAACCAAGCGGAAGAAGTTGGAAGAAGACGTTATTGCTCGGGTTTCGTGCAGTTATGGCGTGTAGGAATGGAATTGGTGCTTCGCGATTTAAACGATAAAGGGACAACACGTACACGTTATTACGTTATTACCCTATTCTCTTTCTCCTTACTATACTTTTCACCATTTCTACGTTTCTCTCTGTGTTGTTATACTTCAGGCCAGAAAAAAGAAAGAAAATCTTGTCGTTAGTTCGATCACCGGACACGGTAAGCAACATCCTGTGTGTGTTGTCGTTGTCCGTTGTCGTTGGTTTGTATTATTATTAAAAAAAAAAAAAAAAAAAAAAGCAGAAAATTTTACGAAGCTAAATATCATAACGAAAAGAATTGTACTTAATCGTTAAACTATATGGTAAACTCGCGACTTAATAATTGCAAATAATTATTTTCAATAAGTTTCACATGATTTTTCTACTTGTACAGAGTCAGTCAGAAAAGTTGAACACGATTACGTTACGTGTAATACTAAATTACGTTTGCGAACTACTCGACCAAACTGTTTTATCGTATATACAATTTTCGTTGTTTCTTTTCTTTTTACTTTTTTTTTTTTTTTTTTTTCAAATAATTAGAATAACTGTGGAAAATTTGCAAAATTTTCAATTGTCCAAATGAAACTTCTTTTCTACTTTTACTCGTCTTGATTTTAATCTAACGAAGTATATGTTTTAACTCTTCTTCCGTTTAACAATCCCCAAAAAGTCTCCAATTTGTAAAGGGGGGCTGATACAAGAAGGAAAAAAAAGATAAAAAGGGTTGCCTCAGTACTTTCATTCGTTCCTTTCTTCTTTCCTTCGTTTCCGTATTCTCTCTCTCTTTTTATTTATAAAAAAAAAAAAGATAAAAGAAAAACCCCAGGTGTTTCGGAATTTCAAAGATAAAATACTCAGGACACTTTGCGTACTTATTTCGTAGTACTTAGGTTAAGAAAAGTGTCGTCCCTGACCGTTCCGATTGTTCATTCGTATTTTTTTTCTTGTTTCCTTCTTCTTCTTCTTCTTCTTTTTTTTTTTTTTCTTATTTTTGGTGACGATAAAATCTAACGAGACGTCGTGCATACACACGTTAACATTTATCATCATACAAGTGTATACAAATATATAAGAAAATTATAGGTAATAACGTGTCTGTGTGTGTGTGTGTATGCACTCGAAATAAAAAAAAAAAACCCAACCAGCTGCCTCGAAAAAAATGACGGCTCGCTTTTTTCTTTTGATAATATATATATTTATCAAGTATGTAAAATATTGTAAGTACGTTGTGTGGTGTCTTGCACGCACTTCTTCTTCTTCTTCTTCTCACTTTTTTTCTTTTTTCTTTTTTTTTTTATTGATCTCAGTTTGGCGTTTAAAAGTTCCTCCTCGTTGTGTTGTTGCATTTTCTTCGAAGTTCGTTGTACTCGAAAGGATCATCGAACAATGTCCATGACAACACGAGTCTCCTCTTATTTTTAATCATTCCTCGCAATGCAACGCAATGCAATGCAATGCATCTGCCTCGTAAAGGAAACAAAACAAAATAAAAAAATAAAAATCAAGACGGAAGTAGCGATCTTTGAAATTGAATTTGGTTTTTCAGCAAAGAAACAGAAAAAAAAATATACTTCCTTGCGATCAACGTCGAATTATCTCAACGCTGTTCGTGTATTATAATTTTATTAATAATTATTTATCGAATATATTTTGTTTATAACAAACAATTTGATAATAATTTGCCGAAAGGAACGGAATCTGAATTGATTTTCGTATCGAATGAATTTCGATCGTTTGAAAAGTAAACTGAACTTTTTTTTTTATAAATAGAATGAATTTTCGATTAGATAAAAATAGAAAATTCGTAGAAAATCGTGTTACACTCTTCGCGCCCCTATAAAGAAAATTTTCTCCCATCTGTTAGAGAAAAAGAAGAAGGGGAGGGAATAGTGGGGTTGGGGAAGGGGTGGTGGTGGTGGGAGAGGAAAGAACGATCGAGTATCGAAATAAACTAACTGCAAGAAAGATGAAGGGTAGGAAATCGTCCAGATGCGTTTTCACTCCCCTCCTCCCTCCTCCCTCCCTACCCCTCTTGTTCACCTCCCTCCAAGGTTTCTCGTAATTTTCAAGAAAACGGGGTAAAAACTATATATCTCTTTTCATCTTCATTTCACGTATATACACATACATACATATATGATATATATATATAGGAGTATATAAGAAATAGTTTTAATGTCGTCTAGAAATAGATTATTCTCTTTCACAACCCACCCTCATCGAGTTTTTACTTTCTATTTCTTTTTTTTTTTTTTTTGTCTAAACAGATGCATCAGATTTCTTTTTAAAGAAAGAATGATGATATTGTAACTTATGGGAAGTTCAAATGTGTGTGGTAGGATCGTATCGATTAAATAAATTATACAGAGAAACCACTAGTGAAATATTTCTTTTCTAATAAACAAAGAAAAAAACAAACAAACATGTATTAATTTTAATAGGTATAATTTTAATTACTAAAAAAATTAAAATAAATGAATGAAAAATTCGTAATGAATAAAATAATTAAAAACAATTTGAGAATACTGATAAAAAGATAGAAACAAAAATGATTAAACTAAAACTATTTGAGTCAACTGGTTGAAACCTTTAATTTTTTAAATTAAAACAATATCTTCTCGCGTCGAGTTAATTATTACAACATAATTATTTAACAAATCGTTACATAGATATATATTGATAAATAAAATAAAAATTAACAGACAAATTTGTGTGAATGGTCAAAAGGAAGAAAATGATTATGAATTATATATGATTGTGGTTTAAAATTTGGATGAAACAACTTGAGAAAGTTTTCTTTTCTTCGTAGGAAGTCTAGACGAATCTTCGTCTTCGTCTTCTTCTTCTTCTTCTTCTTCGTCGTCGTCGTTTCGGTGACTTTGAATTCTCGGTATCTCTGATATTTATAATCGCGAAAGTTCTCGTGGGGCATTGAAGGAGCCGATTCTTGGATTAGCGGAAGCTGCACTGGGTCTTAGATCTCGCGAACGAGACGACCGACGCGTGTCGTGTCAAAAGCCACCACCATCTTTTTTTTTGTTTTTCTCATTATTATTATAATTATTATTATTATTCATCTTCTTTATAAACTGCATTTCGTTTCGTTTCGTACGAGCACGTATTTATCGTCAACGAGTTCCTTTTGATTCCCATTTTATTTTTTTGTTTTTTTCTTCCCCATTCCATCATCCAAATTATTTTCATTATTTCAATTATATTCGAGATATTTCGATACTTTTATAATTATATTTATATCGAATCATTTGATTTATTTGTCATATTGTGTATAATTGTTCGAATTATTTAATCATTTTGTACGGAGTAATAATGCAATGCGTATTATATTATTTTTTTTTCCAGAATTATATATTAAACTTCTCGTACATTTGTATTATTCAATTTTAGATTGGCATTAATTTTTTATTACTTTTGTTATATGTTGTATGTTTCTGTTTTAGGTAGAACAAAATAACAATAATAACAGAAATGGTCTAAATGCTAGGGATTTAAAAAAAGTAAGTTTGTGTTAACAATTAACGATTGATCATATTTATTTGATTATTTGGATTATTTGATTTTATTTATTTATTCATTCAATATATTAATCATTCCAAAAATAAGGTATAGAAAAACAATTCCTTAAATCTTGAATTAAACTTCTTGTCTTTCATTATTTCTTTGTAATTTTTGATCACTATACATGTGTAGGTAGACAATTTCATTATGTTATAAATAACACGAAAAATAAGATTAAAAAAAAGAAGAAAATAGGCGAGAGAATAGACTATCATCATAGAGCAAAAGTAGATGTTCACGCGTGTTGTAATAATCTTCTATATATCTATCTCTCTTTCTCTTTTAACTCGTACATTGTGCATTCCTGAAGAGTGCACGCGACGTTGCACGCGAACTCTTTGGTACCGAAAGGACGTCGACTCTCGCAAATATATTCTAACCATTTTCTAACGTAACTTATTTCGAATCTTATTAACAAGCCAAATCTTACAAACCAAAAAATGATTTTTTAATATTTCACAAATTAAATTAACAATAGAATATATAATCATAAAAATTGTGCTCTTTTCAATATCAATTAATTATTTGGATTTTTTTTTGAATCTTTTCTTTTTTAATTATTCGTTTAATGGATAGGGTGAAGGGGGGTTTGGAAAAATGTTTTTACCTGTAAGATCGATAATAGATTACAACCCTCGTAAAACTACAGAGTTTAAGTTGAAGTAAATAAAAAAACATAAATGACGAGTGGTGTGTGCGTGGGACGGAAACGGATGCACCGGTTGTAACTTCCACCTATTCTTGATTATCCTCTAGCTATGATCGAATTATTTTTACGTTCGCATACTCTCATCCTTCTCTCCTGGTTTCTTTTTCTTCCTCTTACCAAATTTTTGTTCCGAACTTAACCGAACGAAAAGAGAAAAAAAGGGAAAATTGTATTTTTTTTATTACTTCATGAACGAAACGAAACGAAACCAACAGGGAAAAAAAATAAAAAAGAAATAAAGTAAGAAAGAACGAGAAATGTTTTAGAAAATAAGAGAAATAATTTTCATTCTAAACGAGAACAAAAAAACATCTGACTAATGGACAATCAAAAAAAATAAAAAGAAATAGAAAAAGAAGAAGAAGAAATGAAAATTGTTCCCCCCTTGATGAAGGAAAAACAAAGTAAAACTAAATAAATAAATGAAGCAAAAAAAGAAAAAAAAAGAAAAGGGAAGGATAGAATAAGAAGAAGGGATCGATAAGTGACGAGGAATTACGGGAGAGAGAGAGAAAGAGTGAGATCATTAAGGCATCTTTAATCGATGCACGTGTAATAAATGTTTCTGGTACAGATTAACGAGCATTGGTGTATTAAAAGCCGAGGAGCACGACCTCTCCCCTTTTAATCGATCGCTCAACGACCGTCTGCCGATCGTTCGATCTCCACTTGGTAATTAATGCGATAGTCGATGAAAAATGAATCCACCTTTCGAGTTTGTATTCATCTCTTTTTCGTTTACCAATACACCTCACGCAGACAGATATATATACATACACGTATACAAATTATTTCCATCGAATTTCTAAGAAAAAATATTCATTCGTTTTCTTATTTATATATTTCGATTAATACAAATTTTATTTTTTATTTATGCATCACGAAAATATTTCTTATTTAATTTGGCATAATAAACATATTTCAAATATATAATATCATACGATATGCAATGCATAATGCATAATATTTATAATATTTATTTGTTTCGATACTGAAAAATTTGATTTTCAATTAAATCTAATATATTATTTCAAATATATAATATAATACTTGAACGGTCATGGCGCGGTGACAGCACGCGCTCCCTCTCGATTAATTGAAGTCAAGCAGCGCTGAGCGCGATTAGAACTTGGATGGGTGACCGCTTGAGGAAAGAAGATAATTTGAAATCGCTTTTTCTGCACGCGCACAACTTCGTGGTGTTGATTTTTCAGTCGCATCTAAATTCACTTTCCAAAAACGTTCCAAAACAAAGTATAACCTAAAAATAAAAATGCTCTTCGGAATTAGTAATAAAGTTCCTCGGATTGGACGGAAAATTACGATGAACCGAAAATGACAAGAAAAAAAAAAGGCACACGCAAAGAAAACAAAACGAGACCGCTTGAGAAGACCTCGGAAAAGGTTGCAGGAAATCTGTGGAAATCATCATCACACAAGGGATCATTAAAACATCCTAAAAAAAGAGAACTTTATAAACTAATATAAAACAGAACCGAAATCCTAATCAATAAAAAGAAGAAGAAGATAATATAATACGATATGCAATGTACAATAATATTAAAATATATTTCATAATAATTGATTATACTTGTATTAAGTATACCGAAAAAAGGTAGAGAAAAATGATTGAAATAGGAATAGAAATACATACATATATATATATAAAAAGAAACGTGGTATAGACGGAACGAATTCATGCAGATGCAGAGACGTTTATCTTCGGACTAAGAGATAAAAGGAGTCCAGGCCCCGTATTACGGATTCACCAAACGATCTCAAACTCCGCGTACCATTATCGAGAACGTTAATAAGATGCGGGGTCTCTTAAATCACGCCACACACAAAGAGTATACTAAGCTAGACTAGACTTGCTGCTTGCTATACACCACCTCTAACATCATATTATTCTTCTCCCTTGCACACACACGCATGTGCATATGTATACACATACTAATACTCTTTCTTTCTCTTATATTCTTTTTTTCTGTCTTCATTTTCTTCCTTTTTCCTTCTTCTTCCTTCAATGTGAGATGAAGTATGTGTGTGTATATATATATATATGCGAGTGGACCCGAGGTGTCGCGAACGACAACGCGATGAATGCCGACAACGAGAAGAGGATTTCAATTTGTCTCGATCCATGCGAGCTGAATATTAAAATATCTACTCTTCCATCTCATTCCTTCCTTCTTTCATTTCTTTCTTTCTTTCTTTCTTACCTTTCTTACCTTTTTTTTATTTCGTTCGTTGGTTCTTTCACATTCAGTGTTTTTCATCGTCATCGTTACGCTTGAAACATGTCTCCCATTTGTTTCTCCGTTGTGTTTCGTTTCAATTCGAACTTAAGAATAATGTTCGAGTTATGGCACGCGGGGATCCCCCGTTTGTTCTATCAAAAATTTTATCTTTTACTCTTCAGATTTTTATTCTAGAATTATACTTTACGTTTATTCTTTTTTTATTTATACTAAACTTAACACACATGCAGTAAGTGTAATTTGTAAGAATAATGTGCACTGTAAATTTATTAAAATATTCAATTACATATATATATTTTTTTGTTAAATGTAGAAATAGGTACACACATTAAGTGTAAGTAGATAAATCTCATTCGATTTTATTGTGAGAATTGGGGAATATAATATGAGAAGCACAGTTTCTCTCAACGACAAATTATTACGTCAAAGGTATATCTCGGATTCCCCCTTGAAGTGTTTAGTCCAAATTAAAGTTAACACCTTGTATGTAATTGTTGTTATTGTTGCTCTTTTGTATTCACTCTTAATTCTTTTCTTCAACGTGTGCGTGCACACGAAAATTCTGCTGCAATTTAGTTTGCTACCATTAACAGTTTCACGATACGATGTTCGATGAAGGGGGGTTTTTTCTCGTATGGGAGAGGATAAAAGGGATGGGGGAATAAGGGAGAATCGACGTTAAGAAGAAAAAAGGGGGTGGAGGGGGTGTAGGGTAAGACAGGTTGTCCCTTTCCCACGAAATAACATTCGATTTTATTGTCAATCTATAATCACACGTATTTATACTTAATTAAATCGTAATTTGTAATAATAATAATAATAATAATATCTCGTTTATTTTTTTTTTTATTAACAAATTTTATCTATTTGGTTCCTAAGAAAAAAAGAAAATAAAAGTGCATAACTATCTAATGTGTCAACTATCCTATTGTCAACACAAGTAAATACAAAACTAATACAATTTATCCTAAAAAAAATAAACTAAAAACTGTGATATGATGATACGTATTTTCTTATTTGTTTTTTTTTTTGTTTTGTTTCTTAATTATTCCTTTTTTTTCTTGTTTTCTTTTTTCATTAACTTTATCTACGAGTAAAAGATGAAAAGTAATATCTTCGTAAAATTTGGATTTATATCAAGATAATAGGAGTTTAACAATATAACTTGTAATTAAGTCGTACACGTTTTTAGAACAATGATAACAATGGGTAGCCATAAAAGTGTTAATAACTATGAGTTATGAATAAAATAATCTATGTAGACATACGATGAGTAATAGAAATAATAGTAGTGGTAGTGATAATAAAAAATAGTCTTGAAAGAAATCTAGAATTACTTTTAGATAGAAACTAACTCGGTTTTTCCATTTTTATTTCTGACTAATACGACGTACAAATTTATTATACTTTACCAACTTATTTTACTAAATATTAATACGAGTATAGATAAAAAAATGAATCAGAACAAAACATCAAATCAAATAAGAAATACAAAATTATAACGTTGAATTTATTCTGTCAAATGGACCGAAATTTTGTAGATAAATTTTAATTATTTTCCCCCCACGATACGTTATAAAATTATAATCAAATTAAATCATTTAAAAAAACAAAAACTGTTCAAAGAAAAAATTGTTTAATTAATTGCAACATTGTAATTGTGAAATTAAACGAAACTAGTTGAGCAGCGTAAAATCATCGAACGTGGGTCGTTCGGTTGGAGTAAATTCGAAAAAAAAAAAAAAAATATAAATAAATGAAAAGAAAAGGAGAAAAAAAAATGGGAATGAAATATGTGGGTTCGTGACCACCGTGCTTACACGGGATAAAACAATATTGTCGCTCGTGCGACCGCCTTAGGCGAGTTCCTTACTTCGATATTACAACCGTGTGCATTGTTTTCAGCACGAATCTTCAGTTGCCCGTTGGCTATAACTACGTGTTTCTCTTTTGCTTTCGTGCCTTACAA